GGATTTGACTTAATCGTCACGCTTGGCAGGCGAGTTGATAACCGCAGTATCAGACGTTTCCAAACTTCGTCAGAACAACTCCGAAACGTCGGTCAAGACATTTTACGTCTGACGCAAATTAGATCGCCATACCCCCTTATCACCTTATGTCGGAAGTCATAAAATTTATGGCCGAACGAAATCGTGTAGTAAATTATTTTACGCTGCCACAGTATGGCACATACCTATTAAAGTAATTTTAAGATATTATATTTATTTATTACTTAATCATGGAACATACAGCAAGTTGTTGGTAATTTGTTACGAGCACCTCAATTATCGCCGATATCGGCAAAGAAATTATTATATTAAATTCTCACATTTCTATATACAATGATAGTATTATTATTTATTCTGTGACAATGTCTACATACCTATCATAAGGTTTGGAAGTGGGCACAAAAAGGCCTCTCTCCTTTCTGAAAACTATCAATAATATAGTGTTTTGTATTAAGGTGCAGAATTTTTGACTTAAAGTATGAGTTTTTGGATGAAATGGAAAGGCAAAATATATATGTATATATCTATTTTTAAATAATTAATTAATATTATTTATAATATGTAGATAATCGTGTAGGATTGAAAACAACGTTTTTTTTATAGGATGGGGTGACAAACGAACACGGAGTTAAATTATGACGCTTCTCTAAGAAAAAATCTAAATGAAACCGTCTCCCAACGACCTCTAAAAATATTACTAGTAAAAATTACAAAAATCACGAATATAGATAATAGAAGGTGTAATTAAGGAAAAATTTTAGAATTGCGAAAATATACATATAAAGAAATATAAGCTGCTAATTTTCACGCTTGAGTCAATTCGTTTCCTAGCTCAGACTTGTGACTATTCTAAAAAATGCATGTAATTTGGGCAGTCTACTTCATTCTTAATATTTAAACTATACACCTAATATTTAAACAAGCTTTCTTTTGGGTTAAATTCGCTATATTTTTTATATACGATACTTTTCTTTCCTTGGTAAGTGGTTACTGTAGTCCATGGACATCTGCAGTCAATTTTAAACAAGGCAATTAATACAAACAGGTTTATATTAAAGTTAGTATTTTTTTATAAGATAAAGAGTGAAAAACGAGCATACAGTCCACCTGATGGTAAGTGGCTGCTGTGACCCATTGACATCTACATCTATCTTCGATTACGAATCAAAATGCAGATGTGTCGTCACCCGTGAGGACCTAGATGGAATGACTCGTTCCCAGTAAAAAGTAAAAATGGTCTCCGGTTCACTACACGCAACATATGAAACACAGCAGCATTAAGCTGCTATTTTACGCTGGTTTTCTGTGGTAAAAATTATTTTGTCTTATATTAAGGTTGGTAAAAATTATTTTACCTTATATTGAGCGGATGTAAGCAATATAATTTTTACAAAATTATTTTTTTAAATAAGGCTACAAATAAAAAAAAATAATTGTTTTATTTCTGTATAACTATTAACCGTGTGCCATTCCAATTTTCTATTTATATATCAATGCATATCTAATTGTTAACTTTAATCTTACTCTTAAGGTTTGTGTTATTGAATTTTTAAAAATTGCAATATGTAACTATTATATTCATTTATTACTATTTCCATTTAAATTTTTTATGAATGTAGAATGTAATTTCTAGATTCGTAGAAAATTGCAATGGAAATAGTAATATAAGTTTAAAATATATAGAATATTGAATGTGCGAATATTGAATTGGTATATACACACACACATGTGAATATTATAGTTAGCGTAATAATCATCAGGTGGCGCTGTTTCCAAGGAGCACCAGTTTTACTCGCAAGAGGGCTCTCTTATTCCTTATATATTACCATACTCTTTGATCACTGCATAGTGAAGGCTGCTGCACGTGCCACAGTCACCTCCGCGTGTGTGGATCTTGGAGTGTACTGGTATGACCATTTTTTTATAGGAGAGGGGGCACACGAGCATGCGGCTCATCTGATGGTAAGTGACTATATGTACCGCCGCCCATGAACAACTGCAACACCAGGGAGGGAATTGCAGATGCGTGGCCGGCCTTTTAAAAAGGAGTACGCTCTTTTTTTGAAGGTCCCTAAGTCGTATCGGTACGGAAAAATCGCTGATGGTAATCGATTCCACAAGGAAGTCGTGCGAGGAAGAAAACATCTTCTAAATCGCACAGTGGTGGACCGCCAATCATCCAGATGGTGTGAATGGTATTGGGAGTTCTGCCACTATTTGCGTTCGTGAAGTTTGGCGGCTGGGATTAATCCGAACAATTCCTCAGGTCAGAGCACTCCCCGTGGTAAATGCGAAAGAAAATGCAAAGAGATGCAACATCTCTTCGCAGTGCCAATGAATCGAGCCGATCGGAAAGGGCTCGGTCGTCGACGATTCGAGCCACTCTGCGCTGGATGCGGTCAAGTGGAAGGAGCTGGCACTGGGGAGCCCTGCCCAGAGATGGGAACAGTATTCCATGTGAGGCTGAACCTGTGCCTTATAAAGTTGCAGGCGGTGTGCCGGCATGAAATACTGTCCCGCTCTGCTGAGCACGCCAAGCTTTTTAGAGGCCAATTTGGCCTTCTCTTCCAAGTGACCACGAACTGCGCGTCACTCGACATGTCGACTCCGAAGATACCGATACTGGCTGAGGCAAGAAGGGGAGTGCCTTGAAACTGAGGAGATACGACAAAGGGGTTCTTTTTAGCGGTAAACGCGCAAACTTGTGTCTTCTGAGAATTAAACTGGACTAGATTTAGTCGCCCCCAATCCGAGACTTTGTTCAGCAAAGACTCGACTTCAGACACAAGTTTGTTCCGGTACTCGGCGACGTTTTCCCGAGAAATATTAGCACGGCCGGTGTATAGAGCATCACCAGTGCTGTCATCCGCATAGCAATGAATGTTACCAGTTAACAACATATCATTGATATGCAGAAGAAACAGCGTTGGTGATAGCACACAGCCTTGTGGAACACCAGCGTTAATAGGCTTGTAGTCAGAACATGTACCGTCTACAACGACCTTGATGCTCCGATCTGCAAGGAAGCTGGTGATCCAATTGCACAATTTCTCGGGAAGCCCATAGGAAGGGAGCTTCGAAAGAAGCGCTTTGTGCCAAACCCGATCGAAAGCCTTCGCAATGTCCAGACTAACGGCCAACGCCTCCCCCTTTGACTCTACTGCCTCCGCCCATCTATGGGTCAGGTAGACCAGAAGATCACCAGCTGATCGACCCCGACGAAAACCGTATTGGCGGTCACTAATCAGCTGGTGATCCTCAAGGTACCGGATGAGCTGGCAGTTAATAATGAATTCCATTATTTTGGAGAACAAGGAGGTGATCGCAATAGGCCTCTATTTGGACGGGTCTGGGCGGTTGCCTTTTTTAGGGATCGGGTGGACAAAAGCTGTCTTCCATAAATTCGGGACTACGCCTTGGGAGTAGGAGTACTGGAAAAGACGCGTTAGGACCGGTGCCAACTCCGGAGCACACGTCCTCAGCACAATTGGGGGGATTCCGTCAGGCCCCTCGACTTCTCGATGTCCAGGGAGAGAAGCGCTATGAGAACCGAGCGCTGTGAGAACAGTACATCCAGCATGGAGCACTCACACCACGGGATGGTTGGCGGTGTTTTCCCCCCGTCATCAAGAGTTGAGTTGGACGCAAAAAGGGAGCCTAAAAGGTCGGCTTTGTCTTTTGCGTCTTGGGCCAGTGAGTCGTCCTCCCTGTGCAGAGATGGTAGTAATGGCTTAAAGAAATTGCCTTGGACAGCCTTGGCGAGAGACCAGAATACACGGGTTCCTGAAGGAAGGCGAACTAGTTTCTCGCCAATTCTGCCCATGTGCTCTGACTTTGCCTTGGCAATAACTCTTTTGAAGGACCTGGAGGCGAAGTTATACTTCTTTTTAAGTGTGCTGGTGTTTACATCCCGAGTCGCCGAAGCCGCAGCCCAGGCTTGATAACACTCCTGCTTACTGCGTAATGCAGTCTTACAGGAGCGACCAAACCAAGGCTGAAATCTGCCTCCGATGGATACCACAGATGATGGAATAAACAGTTCCATTCCCTGTAGCACCACATCAGTGACAGAGTCAGCAACAGTGCTGGGATCATCCGGCGAGAAGCAAACCCGCCCCCATGGGTAGGATGCAAAGAAAGACCGCATTCCGTCCCAATCCGCCGACCTGGATGAGAGGTCAGCAGAAGGTCCAACAGGGAAGGTGTATGATCCTCCACATCTGGAATCCGCGTAGGCGAAGTAACCAGTTGTGTCAGACCATATGCCATGGCAAAGTCATAAACAGATCTCCCCGCATGATCGGTTCCCTCTTAATAACGTGTGAATTAAATATTATTCCAAAAAGAATTACTAGGTATACAGAAGATAAGTCGTTATTCGTTGTTCGCTGGGGCAATAGAAATGATGAAGAAATTAACCAATATAATAAGAACTGCTGTGATATTCGAAGTAATTTTCTTTTTTCTAGTCATGTTGAAAACTGTATACATTGTAACTTTAGTTGTTTTAAAGTATGCGATACCCATTTGTATTTGTTTGATAAATATTATGACGATTTTATTAAGGCTTTGCAAAATGCTGCAAAAATTAGCGTTTGTCGCGATGTACGATACAGACATAAAATAGTGCGGGGTTGGAATCACCATGTCCGTGAGAGTCACCAAAGAGCGAGGTATTATTTTAAATGTTGGCTGTGGTATGGGAAACCTGAGTCTGGTGAGATTTATAAAAACATGGTGAAGAGTCGTAGAGTTTTTAAAAGTAAGTTGAGGTGGTGCCAGAACAACGACGATCAGATAAAAATGGACATATTGGCCTCACATCATGCAGATAAAAATTTTGTTAAATTTTGGAAAGCAACTAAACATCTTGACTATAAATCTAACTTACCTGCGAGTATAAAAGGTGTGCACCAAAGTCAATTGCCGACTTGTTTTCGCACCACTTCAAAGTTGATCCCTTGCCAACTAGAAATATACAGCAGTATGTTGCTATGCCCGTTGATATTAAAAGTACTGAGGAAGCAACCTCGTTATTCACACCGGACGTTGTACAAAAAATGGTTCAAAAAATGAAAAGGGGTAAAGCCCCAGGTTTTGATGGATTGAATTTAGAACATATTTTATTTACAGGTTTGGACATCTATAGTATTTTGTCAGAATTATTTACGTTTTGTGTCAATTCTGGATATTTGCCGAAAAATCTCATGCGAACGGTGGTGATTCCAATCCCTAAAAATAAATCCGGTGACCTTTCTAGTCTTAAAAACTACCGGCCGATTTCTTTAGAGACTATTATAGGTAAAATTTTGGAAAAGCTATTACACGCGAGTATAAGCAACAACATTAGGGTTGACGACACACAGTTTGGTTTTCGTTCCGGACTTTCAACGGACTCTGCAATCTTCAGTCTTAAATCGAAAGTTAACTACTATATAAATAGAGGTACACCTGTGTATGCTTGCTTTTTAGACCTTAGTCATGCCTTTGATCTAGTTAACTATCAGCGACTATGGCATAAACTAATAGCATCAAATGGACCCAGAAAGACTGTGGATCCGTTGAGATACTGGTACGGGAACCAGACAAACTTTGTGAAATGGGGCGACGCCATCTCTAACGATTATAAATTAGAGTGTAGCGTACGTCAAGGTGGGCTGACCTCTTCGGATCTATTTAGCTTATACGTAAACGACCTGATTGAGGAACTTAGAAGTACAAAAATTGGTTGTCACATGGGTACAATTTGTCTGAATAATCTCAGCTACGCTGACGACATGGTGCTACTGAGTCCCTCAATCAGGGGACTTAGAAAGTTATTAGCCATATGTGAGCATTATGCGCGGGATCGTGGCCTGAAGTATAATGTTAATAAAACGCAGATGATGGTGTTTCACTCGGGCAGAGGCCCGGAGAGGTTTCCGTTAGCATTTCTGGACGGTGAAGCTGTTGCATGAGTGAGTCTATTCAGATACCTGGGGCATATCCTGACTGAGGATTTGCGTGATAACCACGATATAGAACGTGAAAGGAGGGCTCTGGCTGTGCGGTATAATATGCTCGCACGCCGGTTTGCGCGGTGCAGTCCCAAGGCAAGGCTGACCCTGTTTAGAGCATATTGTCAATGCTTCTATACTTGTCAGCTATGGTTGGACAGTACAAAAAATGCACGTAGCAGCATTAGAGTGTAGTATAATAATGCATTCCGCATTCTTATGAAACTGCCTAAATACTGCAGTGCGTCGAGCATGTTTGCCAACGCCGGGGTGCCCGATTACTTCGCCGTTATTAGATCTCGAGTTGCAGCTTTTTGGTCCCGCATCCGTGATTCCAAGAACGAGATACTCAGGGTGTGTCAGTGCTCAGAAAATCCCATACTACAATATTAGCGTACCATGCATAGCGACAATAACTGTAAATAAATAGAACGAACTCCCTTTTGGGGGCAATTTTAATATTTTTAGTATTAACCTATGATTACAGTTGAATTGTCTTTTATTTATCTTATTAATTGTATCCTCATAATTATATTTTCATTTTGTTTTCAACATTTAACATTTATTGATATTTGTAATGGGTGTAAAAAATCCTGAAATAAATGGAAATTATTATTATTATTATTATTATATTGACTCTACACTACGAATATCAAGTTAGGCAAAAGTAGAACCACAGTTCTACAAACGTCACGCACATACAGGCTTCCAATAAATTGCGATGAACTGATTATTCATCTGAAAGTGGCGAAATATAACTTAGTGTCATTCAAATCACGCCGCGGCCAATGCCAGAGAAGTCACCACGTTTGGTTTAATGTTACGCCATGCACTATTCGTGACAGTATAAAATAATCAGCAGAGCTTACGATTGGCATCAATCCTTATCTTACAGCAGAAGTAACCAACAAACTAAAATAGCAACATGATGAAAATTGTGAGTATAACTAAGTATAATTATCAATAATAATTGTCCTTCAACACTATTTCTCCCCGATATATTTAAGTATTCACAAAAACATTGTGTTAATCATTTATCTCTCCAATAAGTGTTTGGCATTAGTATTATTAGCCAATCTCTAATTTTGGGAGTATCCCACACACATATAAATAAATTGTATCCTTGATTTTGGTCACTGTCACTGTTCTAGCATATGTTACATCTAGTGTAATGAAATTGTAATAATAGGTACTATTTTTTGGAACCCAATTAAAATTTTCAGACATTGCAAATTTCAACGTGGTAGAGTCATATTATAGTTGTAGTGTGAATGGGTCGGCTCGGTGGTAGGACCACGCTCTAACAGAATACCAGCGTAAAATAGCAGCTTAACGCTGCTGTGTTTCTTATTGTGAGTGTAGAGAACCGGAGACCCATTTTACTGGAAATGAGACATTCCATCTTAGTCCTCACGGGTGACAACGTATCTGCATTTTGATTTGTAATCTAGGATAGATGTGGATGTCTACGGGCCACAGCAACCACTTACCATCAGGTGGACTGTGTGCTCGTTTGTCACCCATATTCTATAAATAAACAAAAACTCTCATTCATAGTACGAGTACTCATTCGACACCTGCGGGGTATTATGTTTTTTCTTACGTTACACCATGTGACATTCTTATAAATTTGTATAAATACATTAAAACAATTAAACAGTTTTGTAAAAATTTCATGTAGACACCAATTTTACGCTATTATATGATTAAAATGAAATAAACATATAGTCACAGCCTATAGACGTCCAACTTCTGGAGACAGGCCTCCTCTACTTTTTGAGAGGATTTCGGACAAGGATAGTGTTTTTTAATTCTCAAACTTGCAGGTTTCCTCACGCTGTAGTCCTTTACCACCGAGCACGTGGCAATCAGCACTTTAAACTGCAATTAACAATTTCATTTGTGCCGGCGGGGTAACAATGGTTACTCAAGAGCGTAGTATTCGCCGTACGCGAACAACATAGTGCGCGAACAACCTGGATTCGTTATACGACTGATAAAGCATAATTGTTTTTTTTTATCTCTAGTTGGTTATCCTCTCTGCCCTGGTTGCGATTGCGGCCTCAAAACCTTCAGCGGCGTACTTCGCAGCTGCACCAGCCCCAATTGTCACCGCTACCAGCTCGCAATATTACCACCGATTCAACAACGGCCTGGCTGCGTACGTTGCTGCCCCAGCAACCTATATAGCTGGCGCCGCTCCCTACTACGCCGCCGCTCCCTATGTTGCTGCTGCTCCTTACGTAGCTGCTCCTGCCCCTATAGTTGCCGTATAAATTTCTCCAAAATCGAACGTAATATGTGATACTCCAAATAAAAATATTATGTATGTTTAATTTGCCTTTTATTTATTGAATACTATATATATATATATATATATATATATTAATTGGTGGATTCAAATAAAATATAAATGTTGACGTACATACTCTGCTTGCTATTATTATCATAATTACAATCCATAATCCATAATGAGTCCACTGCTTAACATAGGCCTACCCATAAAATGCCAAAGAGTACGTTAATGAGCCACCTGCATCCATCGACTCTTTGTATCTCCTACCAGGCCATTACTTGATCTAGGGGGGAAGGGGGAATGGGAACATACTACTCTGGCCTGTACGAGGTTGCGACTCGAAAACCTTTCTGATTATCGGTTGTTGATTCTTAGTGTTATATGGTCGGCTACTTGCCATTTCAGCTTATTGATCCGTTAGGCTATCTCGGTTACTCATTACGAAGTCTACCACTCTTTGGTCCTGCTGGTCGAGCCGACCCATACGTGCTACAAGCATAATATAGCTGCAGCGTGGCTTCACCACGTGTTTGCTAGTTACACCTCAAGTGGACACGAATGATTTTCAAGTGTATTTGTGGTAAATATTATTACTTATTCTTCATAATCTGAAAACGTTTTTGTATTTTTAAGGCAGTTAGGTGACGATTCGCTGGGCATAAATTTAGTTAATATTTTTTAAATAATTTTTATGAAAAATATTTCACTTGCTACCAAATATAATATAATATAATATAATAAGCATATTAATACGCCAAATTTAAGAGAACTCAGAGAAAAATGCGGAGCCGCCAAATTTTACTATGGCACACCGCGAAAAACCTCACTATAATATTCACGCCATCTAGATTATTGGTGGTTCACTACATTGCGATTTACTAGATCTCTTAATAACACGACTTCTTTGTACAATCGTCTACGACTGGCGGTTTTACAAATTACTTTAATTTGACTTAGAAACGAGGCTGACACTATTCCCCTGGTAATGCAATTGTCCATGGGCGGCGGTCGACACTTACCATCAAATGAGCGTCGTGCTCTTCTCTTCTATAAAAAAAATATTTTGTGGCATATTAGCGTACGGATCAATTTAGTTTTAATAGATAATATGCACACGCAATGTAACATTCTACTTTACAACTTCAAGTTTTAAATTTCAATGCAACATTTCCTAATGTAGCCTTCGAAATATAAATAGCAAATAATAGCTTTGCTACATATTTGATAATATATTTTTCTTAGGTTCAATATACCTTATTATTAGTTGCTTTTTAGTTTAATTTGTATAATAGTAACAAAATAGAGTCAGATATTATTAACTTAGGTCATATAGGAGGGAGTAATAAAAGTGATCAATATTTTGAAACATGATCCCTAAATTATTGACACCATCAATTTTGCATAAATATATCGGACATAAATATTTGGAATACGTACAACGTCAAATACCTTTATGACATTAATTTCTAAGTGAGATAAAAAATCTTTTTTGCCATTCCTTGTTCTTTGCGTAAAATATAGTCTGGAACCTAGAAGGAATCGCTTCCGAAGCAATAAGACCGCTTGTTGTACTTTTTTATGTATTTTTTTTTGTTTTTATTTTATCTCATGATCGTAAGAGGCGACCTTGTTTATATCCTCCGATAGATGGCGGTCTAACCTTTTCATATAATATGTATAGCCCATAGACACTTTCAAACAGCATCTAGGTAACAAATGAAGGTACATAATTATTGTCATTGTTTAAGACTAAGATAAAAATTGTTGTTTGGTGAACGAGACTCTACCGACACCTAGACAGAAAATTAGCTCATTATTAAACATCAAACATATATATATATATATATATATATATATATAATCGTGATCTTGTAACTTTATTTACTATACACTTATAACAAGCGTATATATATGAGTGTAATGTGGAGTCTAGGGCCCTGTTTTTAAAAAGGCAAACTCAACCGTACCCTGTACATCATGTTGATGGACGATCGAGTCTCAGGCGAACGACTATCAAACGCCGAATCCAAATTTTACACACGAAGATGCATTACATCTCACTCCAAACTTTGGGATAACAATTTTTTTTTTTAACTATACGCAACGAGATCTATATAATGATTTTATACTCGTATCGATAAAAAAATTGTGTAAATTGTTCTATCACAGACTAGACTTAAAAATTATTTATAAGTTTATTGTCCGATCCTCGTCTCGAATGCAGACTTGAACCACCGGTTGAACATAGCGGTTTCTGATAAGGTTTTAGTACCATAGATTACTTCACATCGGCGGGTTAAACAGGATTTTAAAAATAACCTGCTATTACATCTGGTGTATATGGACCATGAGAAAGCCTTGGATTCAGTGGAAATTTGGGCGGTGCTACAGTCCCTTTAGGGGTGCCAAGTTGACAGTCACTATATCGAGGTGCTAAAGCTGAAAATAAACACTTACGCCTATCACCCAGAGGTGTAAGCAGAGACTACGGACTTCCATTTGGCATCATCCTGATACACCTCTCTCGCCTCCTTTACATCTATATACCTACGCATACATAGTAGTCAGTTAAGGCTACTCTTAATCTCACCATTTCAGTATATCGCCAATTTAGGCGATAAAATTTCGTCTAGGGTATCATAAATAGGTTAAACAGCCACGGGGATGCTACAAAGCCCTGTCTGATATCTCTATGGATGCCAAATCAATCCGAGTAGGACCCGTTAATCCTGACACAAGCATCGGAAACCCTATAAAGAGATTGTAATGCCTGTATTAACCCATTGCTCAAATGAAGTTAAAGTGATTGTATAAAGCACAAGTCCGGTCGAGCATGGAGCACTCTGGTGCTGCAAAATGTCTAGCAGCATGGAACTCAATGGAGATATGTGCTAAGAGGCTTATTGGTGACCTTGATTTGGTTGAAACCAATCTTGTTTTTTGGCGCAGAATAGTCAGCCTCTCAGTATTTTCTAAGATGCATTGAGATTGGAGAATGTGAGCAAGAATGCATGATTTAATTTATCCTTCTCCTTTCCGCCCATAGGACACCTAGGGTGTCAGCTCTTTGTTGTCGATATTTCACGCATTAGAACCAAATGGTTTGTTTCATCTTTCGTAATGCGAACAGGAAAGGAGTGGAATAATTTGTCGTCGTCTGACTTTCCGCCCGAACACAATCTGGGTGTCATCAATAAGTTCTTTAATCTTGTAAAGTATGGAAATAGTTGAGATTGGCCGATAATTGGCAGAGTCAGCACGGCTGCCTTTTGTGTACTAGGCTGCATATTAGTTAGCTTCCAGGATTTGGGCATTATTCCAGTTCTTAGTGAGAGGCGAAACAAGCGTCTCAACACAGGAGACAACTCTGGTGCATAAGCCTTTAGGGCTACAGCTAGTATATTATCTGGTCCACCAGCTTTGTTAACGTCTGAACTTCGCAAGGTTTTAAAAACCACTTTTTTTAGTGTTGCGTATCTCCGATATAGAGATACCGCAGTGTAATTAATTTACAGAATTGTTACTACTGTTTAGATGTGAATTACATGCAAAGAGAGATGCGAATAAGTCCTCTCCTTTTTTAGTCATCTCAGTCTGCTGAATTAATTCGCCATTTCTTAATCTTATGTCATCTAGGCGACAATTACAACTCTAATAGAAACTTAAAATTGAAATAAATCTAGCTGTAAGCTACTAACGCAGTAAAGATTAGAATTAGCTAGTATATACATACATAAAAAACTTGTGTATCGTTCACACGCGGTAGAAGTGAAACCTTCAAATGAAATAAAATATAAAACAAAAATATTTCACAACAATTTTTTTTTAATTTGATATTTTTCAAACACAAGTGCGGCATAACATAAAACATAAAAGTTTAAATTTATAGCAAACAAATGTTATAATCCTTTTTATATACATGAAGAGCCTAAATATTAGTGTATTAAATCACAAGAATATTTTCTTATTATATATAGTGACGTCTACTGAACTCAATCAGTTTTTGTTCGATAAAATGATTTTACCTATACAATGAATTCTATAGGTAAAATCATTTTATCGAACAAGGAAACAAAATTGTTTGACTCTCAAGGTGGTCCGTAAAATAGACTAATTTAATATAAATCGGTAAGATATGAAATCCTAGACTGTTAAAAATGGTTTGGATATGATAATTTTATAATTTTATTTATAAGAAAACAAATTTGTAATTTTTTAATTCTTTATTTAAACATTTAAAAGTTATAACAGTCATTTTTAAAACACCGCACTTAAGAGAGGCCGAGATAATAGGAAACACTTTATACAGAACTAGATGTTGCCCGCGGTATCAACCGCGTTATTCTCTTTCGGTTCTTAATGAGTAGCTAGACGTCGTTCGCGCGCCGAATTGTGTGTTGAATTATTTTAATTTTTCATTATCTCCTAAAATATGCGTCCAAATAATATATTATAAAGAGCAACGTTTATCTCCATTAAATTGTCTTGATAATGAAGTAACTTTCATCAAGACTGTAGTATCTCGGACTTTTTTTTCGATGGAGGAAAGATCTATATTTTTGTAGAACATAGTATTTACGTATCACTAACCATTACGCCAGCGTACGCGCAGTAAGTCAACAGTACGTTGGCAAATACTTGCTAAAGAAGTGCCAACTTTAAGTCTATGACCACTTCGCAAATACTCGATGGGAGGGCAGGAACAAGGTTGAAGCAGTAAAAACTCTACGTTTTAATCTGGGAAACGTATATGAGGCCTTATTTACCATATATTCCGATAGGAGCAAAGGTCAAGGAATATGGCTAATTCATTACTGGCAAAAATTAAGTTGTTTAAATTCATCTGCTCTGTACTGATTTGGTTTTGAGTTCCTTAATAGTGTAGAAACGGTAGCTGAAGAAGTTGAGGCAATTGGAGAAATTTCCACACCTGCCCGCCATCTCGCTTGTAGAAGGTTTTTTAATTATGAGGCAGAGGAT